ATCGTCTGACCATGTCCATCCCTTTATGACCACAGTGTACCATCTTCTGACCATGTCCATCCCTTTATGACCACAGTGTACCATCTTCTGATGACTACTTCCAGCAGGATAATGATCCATGTCATAAAGCTGGAATCATCTCAGACCAGTTTCTTGAACACAACAATGAGTTCATTGTACTTGAATGGCCTCCACAGTCACCAGATCTCACTCCAACAGAGCACCTTTGGGATGTGGTGGAACGGGAGATTCTCATCATGAATGTACAGCCGACACATCTGCAGCAACTGTGTGATGCTATCATGTCAATATGGACCAGACTCTCTGAGGAATGTTTCCAGTACCTTGGTGAATCTATGCCATGACGGATTAAGGTGGTTCTGAAGGGAAAAGAGGGTCCAACCTGGTACTAGTAAGGTGTACCTGATAAAGTGGCCAGTGAGTTTATTTACAAATATATAACAAGGAATATGGTTAAATTTCACATGAGTTTTGTGGATTTAAACACCTATTCTTAACAAATACTAGGTTTAAAAACTTTTTAGAATGTCAAGGTTGCAGCTCCAGTTATGGTTAGATAACTGTTATAATAAYCTTGCAACAAAATAAGAAATGTTTATCACTGAAGGGATAGTGTGACCTTAGAATATGACATGTCATCACATTTGTTTTTAAAAAAATATTAGCTTTGACCTTTTAATTCTAAATTATAATTTGACAAAATAAGTTGACATTTAAGACATTTGTGGGGTTTATTCTAAAATAAGTGGTTTTTTTTACTGTCAAACACCAGATTTCTTTCTGATAAGTTGTAATTTTCAGTAAAATGTGAGTTTGAGATCCCTGACCTGACGTTATCAGAACTATTACACCTGATTAGAATTTGGCCTGCTGATTGTCTCTGCCTCATGGTTAAACTGGGCAGACTGCTCATAAAAGCCAGGGAACAGAGAGGCTGAATTAACTCTTCTACATCTGTTGCTGCTCCTACAGAACCATGATGTGGAAGATCGCTTTGACCTTTTTGGCCRCCCTCTTGGCTGTCGGTTTGGGTCAAGTACCAGGTGGAGTAAACTCAATAGATCCCAATGATCCAGGATTTCAAGCGGCTGTGGACTTTGCTGTCGWGCAATACAATGCAAAGACTCAACACCGTTACTATTATGCTCTGTCAGAAGTGGTCAAGGCTCAGGTTCAGGTCAGTTCTGTTTTGAATTATAGTTAATTTTGCCTTCAGGGTCAAAGCACTGCATTTTGTTAAAGCTAACTAACACTTTACTTACTGCTATTACCTGTTTTAGAGTTCACTGCTGTAATGTTTCTGTTTTTAACATTAAACTTGTCATTTATTTCTCTTTACAGGTAGTTAGAGGATTAAAATACATGATGATGCTGGTATTGGGGAAGACCATCTGCTTAAAGGACGCCATCGGTGAAGACTGTCCCATCATCAGAAACCAACCTGAGGCTGAAGTAATTCACTTTTTAAATAATTAAAAATCTTTTTTTAAACTAAAGATAAAATGTGACAGATTTAACTTAAACTTCAGATCATGATCTTAGGTTATTTTTGTCTTAAAAATTAAGAATGTCACCTTATTAGTAAGTATATTTCTAACGTTGCTTTTCAGTTTTACACCTGCTCTTTTACCGTGTGGTCATGGGACAACAATTTGWCCCTGATGGGATCCAGCTGCATAGACTGACACCGTCTGCAGAACAACCTTCATTCAGAATAAAACCAAGATTTATTCTTCTTTGTGAGTTGCAAAAGTCTTAAGATTTGTAATTCTTCTTGATGTTACTGACATTTGAGTATCTAAAGCAGAGATCTACATTTACATCATTATTTATTAGGCACAAAATAAAGCATCAAAGAAGGTTTTGAGAGTCSAATACCTGTTAAAACTTGAACATTTAAATAAAGTTTATTTAAAACTCCATGTTCATTCTGTTTGTTTCCTTTTGCTTCTCAGACCTGTTTAGGCTGTTTTGTCAGAAGAATTGTTACCTTACTTTGGCCAAAAGACTTGGTAATAAATCAGGATCAGACAAAAACAATCTTGTAAAATAAAAATAAATATTAATTCACTTTGTTGTATGTTACCTGTTAAAACTTGAACATTTAAATAAAGTTTATTTAAAACTCCATGTTCATTCTGTTTGTTTCCTTTTGCTTCTCAGACCTGTTTAGGCTGT